ACGATACCTAATGGGCATTTTCGTGTTTAGCCGCAAAAAATCGCTCTCTCACTTCGACGAGGGGCGGCTCCTCTCCTCGTCAGGAGACTCGACAGGAAATCTCGTTCACCGCTTTCGGCGAAGACGAGCAGGAAATTTCGATCGCTGTTTGACGACACGAAAGTAACCAACGCGCGTGAGATCGAGAGGGAGGGCTACTACTCGCTCGCTCTCTCGCGCGCGCGATATGGGCGGCCGCGCGCGCGCGTAAGAATATAAAAACAAGAAGACCGGATGACTGCTAACTGTTTGTTAGTCTTGGGTTTTAAAGTCCGCGCGTCTGTCAGTCCAGAGACGTAATATTAGTGCTTAGTGTACGCTGCCGCCGCTGCCGCCACTCCCGCTCATTCACTCTCTCCCTCTCTCTTTTCTTCCCTCCTTTCTCACTGCGCCCGCCACTCCACCGTGCGCATCTTGCATACGATTTCCTCCTCCGCCCCCGTCGATTCTCCTTTCTACGTTTCCTCTCTCGGCTTCTTCGGCCTTTCGTCTTCTTATCCCACCGGCGCGCGATCAAATTGTCGTACGTTAATTGGACACGATAGAGAGAGAGAGAGAGAGAAATTTGAAACCTCTGAAACTTAAGAGAACCAAACCTTCGGTTTGGACAATCGAACTTTGGTTATCACAACAAAAAAAATTGGTTTGCCCATAGTCAAACAAGAATTTGATTCAACTAAACGGGTTTCTCAGTGTAATCACGTCGACAAAGTCGTCCGCTTCTTCTTCCGTTTGAAATAATTCCCGCAACTTCCGAATTGCGCAGCTGTATAATGTTATATTTTTCGGCTCTCCGTTTGCCCTTCAAGTTTGGCGCGGGGTTAATGTAGAGCCGAGAATTCGATTTGGGAATTTAGGGTCGTCAGTACAACGCTGCTCGTCAATTCGCGCTAACACCCCTTCCGTAAAGAAAAAAAAAAAAGGAAAAAAGCATCCTGAGGTGGCTCGTCGCCTAGGTGGATCGTTATAAATAGTCGAAATTACTCGGAGGACCGAGTAGCGGCACGACACGGTGTTTTAGCGGCCATTCTGGAAAAATAAACGACGCGGCCGCGTAGGAAACAGATGACTCGCCACGCGGATGCCAACTCCTCGTTGGAGTGACAGCCGCCGCGCCGTGGCCGACGATTGTTTTTCAGTTTACGTTAACGTTTCGCTTTCGTTCCGATACGGTCGTTGAACGAGGCGCGCCCGCGGCCGCCGTGGCTCCGCCAGTCTTTATTGACTGCCGGTTAAATCGGGCTCGGAAGGAGCCTCCTACGGAACTATTTGATTTTATGGGACATCTCCAGTTGCCCTTTCTCTCTCTCTCTCCTTCTTCCGCGCGACAGGCGAAAAGCTTGTTAAAAGGGTAACCGCGAAACTCCATCTAAGTCGAGGCCGGTGACTTTTTGCAGCGGCTTGTCGCGAAGATGACGACTGTCGTCGAGATTGCTCGCTGACGGAGATTTCATCTCATAAACGCGAGCGACACTTTGCCCCTTAATCGGTCGACGTGCACCGATATCGCACCCGATGGAAGTTCCATTCGTTCCGAACGCTCGTCATATTCGTCGTCGTCGTCGTCGTGCGAATGTCGATATTTCGGGCGATTGCTCACAGCGGAAAAAGAAATATCCGAGTGGCAGAGATCGAGCGAAGGAGGAGGTGGAGGGGGGTGACGGAGGAGAAGGAAGGGTAGGAGGAGGGAGGGGTAAGAGGAGGAGGAGAGGCAACAAAGTATAGCGAGGCTGAGTGAAGGACGGCGCGCAGGGCGGACGCTGGTCTTGTTCGGGGGGTAACTGGAATAAGGTATAATTTTCCGCGCCAATTAAGGTCTTTAAGAATTGCGACCAATTGAGCGGGAGGGTCAGAGCCTTAGCTTTAGGGGAGAGATGTACCATCATCCCCCTATAATTTATTATTGATTAGATCGGATCGAGAAAAAGAGGTCTCGGTACTCGGTAGACTTAAGATTGCCCCGAGTCTCTATGTATAACGGAGTGTAACGAGTAAATAGCGGACGTCGTTTCGCGTCAATTTCCGGCCCGGACATTCGGGGCGTAATGGTGGCGCCTTTGACGCACGATCTGTCATCTGTTTGAGGAAAGAATCGTTAATTACGATTAATTAACAGTATCCGTGCGCGCGCGCGTGAATTTTCGCGCGACTATCGGTTTTGCCGTTTTCTGCCGCGCGGTTGAAGTAGGAATTTTTTCTTGACGAAAATAATCCCTTTCCGCAAAAAGATATTCTTGCAGGTTTTCCTTCTCGTCGATCAAGGGGATTAAGAATTTCTGAAGAAACGATTGTGGCTATTAATTTCAGGTAAATGTTTACGTCAACTGACGGCCCGAAATTGTGAATTTTTCTCATCGTTTTCGCGATATATTGAGTAATATTCAAATTTATTTTCGCGTTTATATTATTATATTTTCACTTTGTGAAAGCGTTTATAATTCTCCGCAGCCGGTACGACGGTGAACTTAGCCGGGAGAAAATCAGTACCCTGCCTGCAAAGTTTCCAAGCACGACATTTCATTAACGTTTCCGATTATTTATCTCGCAAGATTTATGCGGATCGTCTCTCCGACGAGAACCGATGCATCTCAGGGGAGCAGGGCAGGCGGCGGGATTTTCTCATCGATATCTCGGCCGCGCGAGGTCATCATCGGATCAAGTCAGGCGTAGTCCACGTTCCTGTGGTTTACACTTAATTAAACCGCCATAGGAACTCGGGCGCCGGCACGTGGCGGACAATGCCGCGAGTCTTTAGCGACGATTGTTATGTAAAACACACCCTATATATGCGCCGCGCGGTTTCTCTCGTATCGTATCGAGACGGGAAGTACGTAGGTACTCACTGTCCCGTTTTACCTATGTACAACGAGGGCGACGGTGAACTTTTTGAAGGCATCAGCCGCCGATTCGAACGGGCGTAACTCCGTTTTTCGCCCGACTAAAACTCGCCGCGTAGAATCGTGCTCCCCGCAAAACGTACCCTCCGAAACGGGCACTCTGACGAGGCGACACGAAAGTGCGGTTCCTTCGTTAATCTTTCTGGCCGACTCAGGCTCATTCGAGTTGACACATGACACACACGAGGACCGACTTTGAAGTGACACGATCGGGATGATGGAACGAGAGGAACGAACGAGTGTAGAAGCGAGACAATAATGGAGGATAGGTAGGACGACATCGATCGAGGGTCCACAAACCCAACGATTTCACACATCGCACTTTTCTGCAGAAAAGAAAGGGTTCTTTCTATCAGGCCTGCGGCCAGTCGGGGAGAAAATCAAGCCGTGGAGAATCTCTTTACGTATAATAAGAAAATATATAAGACCGAAGATTAGATAACGCGTAAGGAGGTGTGTAGCAAATGTACAAAATAATATAATTCCAGTGCTCTTATATTTTATATTTTTCACAATTTTCCGTAGCTGTCACGGAATATGTCAGAGTCTATTTTAGAGACGTCGATCCTCAGACATGAAACCAAAAAAACTTATTTGTAATACTTATTTGTAAGGAAGTATATAACAATTTCGGATTATTATAGATATGAGTAGAGAAGCGGCCAGATTTCACTGACGGAAACACTGCTGTCAACGGACCTTTTCAGAGAGATTTTACCGACTTGCAACGCCGTATTTATAATCGCTACCGGTGACTGCTTCTCGATGATAACACATCGATTGCACTTTAGAAAGTAATGTACCGAATCCCGATGAAATAGATGGTGCGAGTGACGCCAGCCTCCGAGGATACATCGACATCGTCATCGTCGATGCTCGACGAACGATCGCTTCGTCGCGGGCGAACTTAAGCAGCCTTTTCGTCGTCGTCCCCTGCACCGCGGATGAGAAGATCTTCCAAGTGTCCGTGCGCTTCCGGCCGGGGTTTATCGCGGCGGGTTATCGAAAAATTTCCCCCGCGTTACCCCACTCCGTCGCGAAATCTTTCCCGGTTTTCTCGGCGTACGTCTGGATTGGGCACTGGTGGAAAAGCGGCGTCGCGGGAAAAGCCACGGATTGGCCGTGGGGCGAGGCTTGCGTCATAACGGAAGCGTCGTGTCCGCGGACGCACGTAGGATACCTAAAGCTCCACCTACCTCGGGACCTTAACTGCGGGGAACCCGCGAGTGCAAAGCCGAGCCGGGGGGGGTCGAGAGGGTGGGCGCTTGTGCCGCGCGACGAAGAGCGTCGTCGAGAGAGCTCCGTCGGGCTCGCTAAGGAGAGGAGAGGAAGATCGTTTCCACGATACGTACGTAGGATCGATCGACAGCTGGCGACGTCGTCGAAATCTGATAAGTGACCAGCTTCAGCTGTTGACGGACGGAGGCGAAGTCTCTTCGAGCGAGAGGACCAGCTACGCACGGCTGGAGAGACTTTCGTAATGCAAAGAGGGAGAGAGAGATAGAGAGAAGGGCGACGAAGAGCGTGCGCCTGTTAGGTGGGAGTCGCTCGGCTGAAAGAGGGAGACTCTCCCGAAGGGAGGAAGGGAGAGCCATGGGTGGTGGAGTGCGGTAATTCGAAAAATAAGTCTCCACGGGCGCACTTGACCGAAGCACACTCGAATCGGAAGGGTCGAGCACTCGCGAATAACAATTAATAAACGGCAGCGGAAGCGCTTCGCCGATCCTCCGGGAGCGGAGGAAGCCTTCGGGGATTATGTGAGCGTGTCTGTGAAGGCGTCTAGTATCTGTCGGTGAATCCTTCGTCGGCAGATGCCGGCTGGACGCGGAAGTGAAAGCATGAGTTACTGACGGGGACGTCCGACGTAGCGCGCGGCGAGAGTGAGAATCGGCGAATCAGGGGTGGAAGGGTGGCCGATAGAACGAGGAACAACATGAAGAAAGGAGACGGAATGGCAAGCGGTCCATCCACGAGCGCAACGATGATTCGTAACATGTGACGCGACGAGTTCGCGTGTGCGTGCGGACACTCGACTGTGTTTGCGATCGGTCATGAGCAGGACGATCGGGGAAATTGGAGAGAGCGACGTTGAAGAATCGTAGGTAGCCGTCGTGAGGAAACCACGGAGTGCGGGGAGTGATGGAAGACGAGAAGCGCAGCGAGACTTCGCCGAAACCCTGCCAGCCGACCCCCTTCAGCATCGCCGATATCCTCAGCCGTGAGACCTCCTCCTGCGCGGACCCGAGGCGATGCTTGGACCTGGAGAAGATTCAGGCCGCCGTGTTCGCGCCGATCAAGAGACACGGCCGGGAGTACGCGGAGAACGAGCACCTGGACGCCGGCTACGAGCACGATGCTCAGCTGATCCATTATCCGAGGCTGCCCAGCCCGGAACTGGGCGCGATGCATGAGCTGAATATCTTGAGGAGGAACCTGGCGCAAGTGAACCTATCGAACTTCGGCGGCGCGCACTTGACCCAGGGATCTTTCAAGCACCACCTCGAGGCCCTGGGAAACCTGACGGCCTACCAGCCCGCCAAGGAAGCCCCGACGGAGGCTTCTCACAGGCAGCAGGACGAAGCGTTGGACATGAGCAAGAGCAAGTACTTAGGTGGGTGGTGCCGCACGGGAACGAAGAATTAACTCCCACGAATAAACCCCCACGCAGTGCGACTGAAATTCAGCAGACTTTTTCATTCGAATCACCGGCCCTTGTTTTCAGTTCTGCGGGATCATTCCTTTTCTTTCCCACGTACGATTATAGTCATGAAGATTATTCCCCACGGCTGAGAACTAGGTCTGCTGATGAAATTTGGTTAGTCGTGGTCGTATGAACGGTTACCTGTGGGAGCTGATTCTCTTTTCCGTGCGTACGCGGCGAATCTCTCCGTCCCGTCGTCGGATCTTCGATCTCACGATAATTGGCTGGCGTGATCGGTGGTTGTCCAGCCTCTTCGCGTACGAGTCTCGCGGTCACAATTCCAGGCCAAACATGAATAGCACGTGTCAGACTCGTGGTATCAATAGCGAGCGAAACGTGAACACCACGAATCACATTCGTGGCATCAATTGCGGGCCTGACGTGAATACCACGAATCAGACTCGTGGTGGACAGAGCGTATGGCTACTTCACAGGTAATCGCAAGATGTTACCTCGGCTCGTTCCGCAAGCGTCTTTTCCCACCATTTCGGCCCGCATTTTGCCGAACTAATTTGTACTGGAAGGGGCTGGTGATACTGTAAGTATCGGTTATACTATAAACAATTGCTCACACACAGTAATAATGCAAATTAGTGACGATGCAGGAGTTAAGATTCAAACTTAATCGTAGGACTGCCGAATGTAAACGCGGACGATGAATATATTCTGGGTCACATTCAAATATATTCTCATTTTCACTTAGATTAGCTCTTCTGATCTTTTTAATTATTACTAGGACCTTTTCACTCATATACTTATTTTTATTTAGATTTGCAGATTATATATTTAAGTAAAGATGGACAGTCGATTTCGAGCTACAAATGTGCGCGATTACTTGTGGGATGGCCGATATATCTGAAAAGTTTGCACGGGCAATGATAATTTAGATGGTAAATTTTTATGTTGCGTAAAGTGAATAAATAAATAAATATGACCTTAAAAGTCGGTTCCCGAATGAAGTACAAAAATATTAGACTGTACTGAGAAACACACTGCACATTGATTTCTTTGCTACGGCAGCGTGCATGCTTGTTGTCTCTCTGAATTATTCGTCCCCGTGTGGCAAAAGTATGACTGAGAGCAATTTTCTTTCAGTAAGTCGCTTCGAAATTTGCTCAATGTAAATTACGAAGAAACCACCAAAGGCTTCTTTTCATGGATTCCATAGAAAGAGTCGCTTATTATTATTACACATGCACGAAACAAGTTCAGAGGCAAGGAATTAGCTTCCTCAGAACAGAATGGCTCGATAGAGCTCGATACGCCGAGCGGAAACGATATCCACGATATGCCGAGGAGGAGAAAAAAATGCTGACCTGCCGGAGGATCTTGCGTGTCGGGCATGAGGATGTGGGCTTAAGAGGTCATTCGAGCAGATATCCGCGTAACAGGCGAGCTCCTTTCAAGGGTTTTTAAAGTTAACCCGAGCGCAGATAACGTAATTGAATGTAATTTTAGTAGCATAAGTGGCACTCGACGCGGCAGACGTCACGAGTACCGGCTACTCTACTTCTTGCACTTGTTCGATCTCTGGCCACACTCCGCCGCTGTCTCGAGCCATCCATCCATCCATCCATTCCATCGAGGATCTATGGATTACCTCAAAAACCGTTTTAGATCAAGGTTACGATCGCTAACTATTTCCGAGTAAAACGTCTCGCGATTGATTTATCTCGTGACAGATGTGGCGTTAGGTGCGTGTTACATACTACATGGACAGCAATAATTCTTCGGTTAATCGTTTGCATCCGCTTACGCCACGCGCCTCGTATCGCTCTCTGAGATATCTTTTGCGTATTCCCCCTTTACCTCCGTGTCTATTCTTCTGGTGATTATATTCGCTCCCGTCACCGCGATACGCAAAGGGCGGATATAGAATTACATCGTCCAATAGTGTTGTCTTAGTGCGAGAGCAAACAGATACTCTCTCTCTCTCTCTCCCCCTCGTATTGACCGCTTCGTGAAATCTATCACACTCGGAGAAAAACATATAGTCGTGGCAACTGTAAAGGTGACGTCTGTATGAATTTGTTCCTTCTTTATGGAAAATCAATGCATATAATTCAATAAATGTTGTAGCAACATAATAATATAGCTTAAATTCTGTAGTTATATAATTAAATCTGACTAATATGACATAGCGTAAATTATTAGTTACTTTAACTAATATATATACTACTATATTTATCCGTTGAACGAATCACGCAATAATATATTGCATTGATGTAGACCAAATTGTAATCCCTGAATCAATTGATAATTTATTACACGGCAACTGTATAATCTGTTCCACGTATTAAGCGTTGTGCTTGAAAGAATTTTATTTGTTTGATTTCACCATAATTTTACACGTTGATTTTATTAACGCAGTTGATAACCGAAAATAGCTCGAATTTTTATGGAACCTCCTTCAGAAGGATTATAGCAGGGACTATGGGGGTGTCGACTTTGAATTTTTAATAAAAATCAGCACTTATCGAACAATTCAGTAACGTTTGTTCGGGGAAATTCTTGATGAACATCAATTGAAATATCGCCTGTCATTCGATCTGCGAGATCACAAAAAAACTGGTTTCATTAAGATAATATCAAACATCAGGTAATTGACATTACGCGCGGAAGCGCAATATGTAGCGCTTCCTCTTAAGCGAAGGATCGTCACCTGAAACCGCACTAGCCGCGATAGCGGTATTGTTTGCAGCGGCTCGAGGGTGAAGAGGTAGGCACGAGTTGGCACCGGTTCAAGGTGCACTCAGAAAATTGCGAGTCCTCCTCCGAGGGGAAATCTCTCCAGTCATTTAATATGGTAATGGGCATCATGGCCGTAAGAATCCACGTTGTCACGACAAATTTATCGTATAACCTTTTATTAATACCTTTTACCAACCGCCGGAAAAATTCTTCGCCGCCTTTCCTGCGTCGTACGTCGCAACAGACGAAGGGTGGAGGGAGTCGAAAAGCCGTTTTAGTGGTCTCGAAGGATCATCGGTGTAATCAGAGTCAGTCGACGCCACTTGCTCGTCTGGAAGCGAACTCATTCTCTCTCTCTCTCGATATAGACGCGGTGTAGGATGTTTGACGAGCGCCGAAGGATGGACGCATTAGCCGGACGAGATGGCATCTAGTTGACGTCGAAAGTGATCAAATATAGATCTCTCTAAATGCTCCGCTTCCCCCTTGCCGACCGCCGCCGATAAACATTGACGTAGGATGAGCGTTTTGAGCGCGAAATAATTACGGTATCGTCGGGGAACCCCCGCGATTGACTCGTGAGCGATGATTTCGAGACGCTCATCGATTGAAAATCTCTTCGGGAAAGTCACGGTTTCACACTGATAGAAAAATATGCGGTACTTGAAATTTTTATCGACTGTATTATAATTTTATCAACTGACTTTTTATAAATTGACGATGCGGATAAACTTGCAAATATATTTCGAAGAATCGGCTCTACACAGAAAAAATTAAGACTCACTGATAGAAAATTATAAATATTTTCGTTATATTGACTATACCCAGTTTTGATTTTAATCATAACAATAGTTAAAATAGGAGAACCGTCTTTCTAGTAAATGTTACTGTAGCGTCAGTGATAATGATCTTACATATGTGTTACTACTACTATAAAATATCGGTTAGCACCGAAAATAATTAGAAGTTAGACGAAAAAGTTTCACTCAAGAATTGGCCCTTGATGAATCGCCAGAAGAAGTTTCCCGGATTACTTCTTATTTGTAACGATAGAACGCGAAGGAGCGGATCGAGCGCGTTGCCAAGTAGAAGAAGCCAAGTCTGATCTGCAATATGATTGTACTCTAGTACCATTGGTTAAACTTAGAGGAGAATTACCGCGGAACACGAGCGTAAACATGTCGGAGTAGCGAGTACATGTGTTAATGTTTGTGCGAGACATCAAAAGCGACGAAGCTTCTCTTTCTCTTTTCCCTTTCCGATCGTTCGCCGTCCGTACGCTCGCTCGCTGATGGTTACTCCGACTTTCGGGTTAAACGATTGCTTTACGGTATAGTTGCAGATTCTCGTGCGATTCTAAATATTTATCCGCAAACGAGTCCGAACGGCGAGTCCGCGCTATGTGAAAAACGGAATTTTACGATCGGGCTGATGTGCTGGGAGCCCGGGAACTCGTTGAAATCTCTCAACCTTTCTCGCCCTATTCTCCCTGGATGCGTTATTCATCATTTGTAACTACACGCCGAGAATTTCCCTCGATGTTATAAACATTCACGAACCGAAAAAGTGTCACGGTGCTCTTGCCTGGCTAAGATATATTCATAACGTCGAAACAATTCCTGAATTCGGAGCAATTCAAGGCGGTATGGGAAATTTGGAAAGCAAAGAATAAGACTGTATGCAAACCGAACTACACAATCAAAACTGCGCATCTATCTCACAAACACAACGAGTATCCCATTTTTTCGCTGTTCTCGACACGCGCACACATACACGGAGAGAAATAATTTGGAGGAGCGGCAAATTTTATGCCGTCGTAAGAAATGAATTACGAATGATTTACGAATTGTTGTCTGGTCGCCGGGCGACGGAAAATTCAGTTACACTAACGGAGTTGTTTTCTCCGTGTTACGAATATATCCTAGTCGCGCGTACACGAGTCTAGTAAATTATGTTATTAGTATGCTGCATTAGTCATACGTATACATCATATATTATTTAACAGAAATTTTCGACGCGTACGCTAAGACGCATCTATGCAAACACTTCGAAATCGTCGGAAAGTCGCGAAGCATTTCAATTTGCATGGAATCACAATTCAATTTACAAAGTAGAAGTTTACCCGACGTTTTTCAGACGAGACAGAGGACGATGCGTACGAGTCGCAGAATCCGGGGCAGAATTTGCAGAGCAGGAAGAAGCGTAGCAGAGCGGCGTTTTCGCACGCGCAAGTCTACGAGCTTGAGAGAAGATTCGCCGCTCAGAAGTATCTGTCAGGTCCCGAGAGGGCAGATCTGGCACGCGGCTTGAAACTGACGGAGACGCAAGTGAAGATCTGGTTTCAGAATCGACGGTGCGATCTTTCGTCTATGCGCTTACGCAATTGTCGAATTTTAAATATGAGATTATTCTCGAGAAAGCACGGTCTACAATATCGGACATTTTAAGCTTGATTATTTTGCCTTCGTTGGAAAAAAGAACGAAAGGAGATAATAAGAGCCGATCGCGGTTATTAGAGCAAACATTCAAATTGCAGCAACCTTACATTATGCTTATATAATGTATTCTTATAATGCTCACAAAACATTGCAATGACATATTTATTGACAAATACAGAAAACAGCGCAACAAGTTGTTATGCAACGAATATTAACGAGGGTAGTTTGAAAAGTTTGGTAAAAAAAACAAGTAAAACAAAATTTTGGGAAAAAATCAATGTTATTTTTCAACATAATCTCTTTTGAAGGTTGTACACTTGGTCCAGCAATTTCCTAATTTTTTCATCCTGTTGGAAAAGTAGGTCTTGTCAAGCTCTTCTCTCAATAGTCATTGACGGCGGCGATGCTGTCGTCCTGATTCGACGAAAATTTTTTCCCACCGGGGTAAATTTTTCATGTCGAGAAGAGGAAGAAGTCGCACAGAGCCAAGTCCAGGGAAAATCGTGGATGAGGAACCAATTCGGAGCCCAATTCATGCAATTTTACCGTTGCGACGGTCGATGTGTGAAACGGCGCGTTGTCCTTTTGGAAGAGTACTTTTTTGCACGCCAATCTTGGCCGTTTTTCCTTTAATTCGTCTTTCAAACGATCCAATAATGCCGCATAACGGGCTCCTATTATTGTCTTATTCTTTTCCAAGTAGTCAATTATGATAATTCTTTGGGAATCCTAAAAATCAATGGCCACCACTTTCCCAACCAACAAAACGATCTTCGCCTTCTTCGGTGTAGTTTTACCAGTCGTTGTCCATTGTTTTGACTGTTGTTCGAACTCTGGTGCGAAGTGATGGATCCAAGTTTCGTCCACAGTGACGAATCAACGCAAAAATTCCTTCGGATTGCGATTGAACATCGCTAAACTCTGCATTGAAATGTTCTCTCGTGTGCGTTTTTCGTCGACAGTCGACAATCGCGACACCCATCGCGCAGACAGCTTTTTCATGTTCAACTTTTCGTGTAGGATATTATGGACGTTAAGTTGGGATGCCTACGTGTCGCATTTGGCTGAAACCTTGACAGAAGCCGCTTGAAAAATAATACCTGCCAGTAGTGATGTCACTTTATGAATTGTAGCGCCATTTCATGGAAATTTATCAAACTTCTCAAATTATTCCTTGTTACAATGTATATCGGCGAGCCAGTAACGCCATGATTCCTTTTGAATTTTAAACTAAACATTATAATGAATTATAGAGCAAACGATATATAAATTAGTTTGAAATACGCGAAACATGAAATAATTCATACTGTACTGATATTATTTCTCTAATATACGTATAACATTCGATTAATAAATGAAACATTGCGAGCGAGTTCATCATAATTCCAGTTTTTAATACATATTTGTTTATGATCGAATTTATTTTTCATATTGATAAATGTAAATACTAATATATAATATTTGACTAATATTTAAGTAATTAATATTTAGTTACTTATTTTAACTTGTTTATTAAATACACGATGATATTACCAATTACCGAAAAAATTGACATATTACGAGCAAAAATTTCCCAATTGATTTTTTGTTTATTAATTTTTGTAGAGGCTGCCCTATTCTTCGATGAGTCGCGATTTCACGCGAGCGTCGTTACTGATTTCAGGTACAAAACCAAGCGGCGTCAACAGCAGGAACTGGGCGCCCTCGTGAATTCCGGGAGCGCCAGGCGCGTGGCAGTACGCGTCCTGGTACATCCGGAGGAACATTTGAGGGGATTGCCTCTTCGTGGTTCTGCCCAACTTCCCGGACAAATGTCGAGCTCGCAGATTCATCCCGCGAACAAAGCGCTCGGAAGTTTCCCGTATTGTTATCTGCCGTATCACCCGTTGCTCTGCCCGCCCCTGCATGCCACCCACGTTCAGGTACAAAGCGCGATCACGCCCGATTTCGTCCCGAGTCAAATCTCCAAAATCAAGGACGAGAAATAAAGGATCGGCCAAGCTCTCCCTCTCTCTCGCGAACACCGGGCGTCGTTCGGTTCGAAATAAGGACGACGTCGGTTCGAACGATTACGTTAAATGTCCTCCTTCTGAGCGACATTTCAGACAAAGCCGTCTGGTGAGAAATGTCCGGGAAAAGACTATTTCGGAGAGTTGATGAGTTTCCCGCAAGAAGAAATCCCGAGAAATCATCCGAGGCAGCCGAGAATCTCGACGAGACCAGCTCACGCGCGAAGTCGCGTCGAGCGAAGGTCAAATGACACGTAACTCCAGCTTACATTGATTTGATGGATACAGGTTTCCACATACGAATATTTCGTGCGCGAAGTGCAACCTTCTAGCGTTGTTATAACACGCGTAATATTAATCTACCACTCGCATAGAAGATTTCTTGCCGTCTAATTGAGAGATCAAGATACGTCTAATAACATAAACAGAGACTGTATTAATCTGATATTCATAGTAATCTATTCGAGGACAATTTTCGGTATTCTAATCAGAATCTATGCTATATATGAGAAAATCTGGAAAAATTTCTATGCGGGCGGTTATCTCGTAGAACTGTGTCGAGGGATCGTCGATTACCTTCAATCTCGTCATACGCGCGTATTTATTATAATTTAACGACAAGCATAGAAATGATCGTGTAAATTAGCCTGTAAATAAGTGTATAAAATGTGGAACGAGGGACGGATGCCAAATTACTTTACGTTTCCCTTGATATTCGTGCTTCAGCAAGCAGGATTCTGTTACTCAAATATAAGGAAATCGCACTTTCTCCGTGTTCTCTCGTCGCGAGATACAACATCGAACTGGAGGAATGGAAAAGCAAAGGATACAATCTCGCAGATATACGTGTCCTTGATGCTTCGATTAATCTCTCGATATTTTGCAACTTCGCGGTTTCATATCCCGAGACGATGACTGTGGTGCGGCTGTGGCTGCGTTCGGCAAACACGACGGTTGTACAATTGTTGAATAAAAGTTACCTGTGACTGGTGTGCACTTTTAAGTCTACCAATCGCAACCATCGTCCAAAAGTTGATCGCTTGGCCGTTGTGTCCGCTGAACGCAGTCTGTGACATCGTCGACTAATTGATGCATCGTACCCTGTGAAGACGTTATCCAACACAGAAAATATTGCGAAGTGAAAAGTGCGCAGAAAGAAAAGTGCTAGAATCAAGTAAATGTAATTATTTGTTTTCCAGCCTCGAAAATTCAGCAATATTTTTGTCAATTTAGTATATTTTGACGGCTCGTAGTAAATATTTATTTTAACTTAGTATCTTAAATTTCGATTTTTCGGTCCAGCGAATATTTCCTAAACTTTTTAAATTCTGATATTGTTATTATTATGAATTTGATACCCGTCGACATTGTTCTAACACATACAAGCAAATGTTTAATTATACTAAGTAAAAATCACATTGTACATAGTCAATTATATTTTTATGTCCAGTTGATATTGGCCAAGGAGTATTGGAGTAATTATTTTACTTGGCCAATAAAAGCCCGCGCGGGTTTTCACTGGTCAATATTTACTGTTTATTTGGAACTTCCCGGAAAAAAAAGATCATACATGAAATTTGCCCCATCTATGATTATGTATAATCATGTATGTCCACAACGAAAAATTACTGTGCTTTACTAATTATATGCAAATATAATCGATATAAATGCATTTGGCTCCTTTTGCTTCTGGCAGCACATGATATCGACATTTAATTAAATGACGTAACATCATTTTTTTCGTGTAGATACATCCTATCATATGTGTAACCAGCATATATTTTAAATTCATATATGATTCTTCATAATTATATTTAATCATGTATAATCATTTTTTCCCGGGTTTGCAGAGCCATTTTTACTTAGTTTCTCTTCATCTTACCTAGACTTACCGAGCAAATGTTATTTGAATGTAGCACTTTTTTTTCTTCGAGTGTAGGAAATTTGTCCGAGTTACCACGCAGCGAGGCGATGTCAAAGGTGTAGATTAAATACTTAACGCTAACGACAAATTTGTTTAACGTGTGCGTCGCCAGTGTACCAATGTTCAAGCTCGATTTATTGTTTAAGTACACCGAGATGGTCGCGCAGGTGTCTTGAAATATATATATATGTATCATCTATGCTCTGCTACACCCGTACGAGTTTCTTTTCTCAACTTTCCCCACTCTCCCGTAGATCCTCGAAATCTCGGAAAGAAAGTGCGACGTTGCAGGTGGAAAATGAGTTTTTCTCCCCGCTCGGCATTGCAACCGACTTTCTCATAAGGGTTTTAATGGCTGCGTCTGGGTGGGCCCGGCAGACATCAGATATGTTTATTCAGACGCGGAGACGAGCAGGCTTAACCGACAGACGAGAAAAAACCTAGATCTGACACTCATCTGTTGTAAACAAAAGTGTTACATTGCCCTCGCCGAAACCTTTCGCGTCCCATTTCTACAGGCCGTGTGGAGGATCAAAGAATTAATAGTGTTCAATTAATTTATCATCATAATCTAACATATACATGATTTCTCCACAAACATATAAATTATTTAGATACGTAATAAAAAGAAAAAAACATAAGGTGTTTAGAGTGTCCGTCAGAATGTCGATGTATCTTTGATTTCTAATATATTTCATAAAAGAATTAGAACTGATGAAATGAAGCAAATTTTACCGGAGCGAATGTTCCTGTGAATAAAGGAGGTTGCAATTTCGGCGGCGTCTGCTTCACGAAAAACGATACAGCTCCCAAAATGTAAGATCGTCTATTCACGTCTGCTTCATAAAATCGTATTTTTGGCGCTTTTGAGTATCAACAAACTGTAGTGGTCGGTGCAATCTCCGTGACGCAGGCCGCAAATTATTACGACGAGTTCCGACGTTAACAGCGACTGCATATCGACACAACGGCCTCGTTTAAAGCAAGAGCATTATAGCTTTAGAATGTTTAGAACCGTTCTAAACGGAGCAATAATGGACTGCAGAAGCGACTATAAAGCCTGCACCTCACCGATTTTCCAGTACGCGTATTCAAACTACGAACGGATTATAGATAGAGGACACCGCGTTAATTGCTGCGATCAAAACATCGTATCGACTTCTTGCCCTACGATATAAATAAATGTTAATAAATATTTTCGACGTGTGTAAACAAGTGTCGATAAACAAGTAACGCCGTGAGTTCGTTTATCGCGCGACGGCATTAAAATTTAAACAAAGATATAACGAGTTACTTCAAAATACGCTGGATTAAATGAACTCAGTACGACTTGATCAAAATTTAGGAAAATTTCACTCCCCGACTACTTCAGAAGTGCGAAAAATGAAATTGCATCGTTATTAAAATACAGTTATTGCGTATGAATTAATTGACGATGTTTAGTCAGTGGACGCTTTTCTGGGGGATGGTTGTTGGAACGTAAGTAGAGAATATATGGGCGTGACAATCCCGTTCTCAGCCCTTGACTGAGAAATTCGCTATCGACTGTAGCAACTGTAGCGAGCTCGTAATTTGAAGCAGGAGTACGCCGAGTGCGCCGCCGGCGGACTCGTCTCGTAAAACGAGAAAGGAACGATTTAACGCTCAATCAACCGACGAAAGCTAATTTTCATTAGCTGTTAATAGCGCGCAAGACCACCCTCTCCCTTGATCATCCCCTGCCCCTTAACCCCTCACTACACTGTCCGCCAAGTGAACGTCCTTCGTTTACCGAAAGAGCCTCGCGCGTTTGATGAACTATACAATAACTAGGAAAGTTAATGTTACATTTGTCTATTTTAAACGATCTATTAAGCGGTACGACAATGTATTATTAAATAGTGATACAAGGTGTATGTACATATAATATGGGATATATATATGTGTACACAGAGAAAATGTACTTTTTTTGGATTTAGCATACGTGTTTGTTTGACCTAAGCTTATTTAATATAAAGAATATAATCCAATATCAAATATCATTTTGTTTAAGTGAATAAAATATTGTTGTCCCATTTAAAATAAACCCACTCAAAGTAAACCATGTTGTTTGATAGACAAAGAAAATAGTATTATTATAGAAGGAGTTATAGAAGGAGTAATGTTTGTTTAAGAAATAAATTTATTTCATTATATGAAATATCGTTCCACTGAAACAAAGAAGTTCTTTAATATTTTTTAATACAGTCTATATTTTTAATATAGTCCCACCTTGGCACGTCTTGATTTGATTTTAAAGTCACCAACTTATGTGCTTTAAACCCTATAACTTTTGTTCGAAATATTTTTTGTAAAATGCGATGTTTTCTATATATTTGAGTATATTTTAAAAAGTGAGTCACCCTGTATATATTAATATAACAAGTATATTATTAATACTACTGAATAAATATTTTCTTATTTTTTAGACGTCCCTTCTCTCAGTGTAGTTTCACGATGTTTTCGGTTAAATATCCCCTGTAATTCAATAATTTCGCATATATACGTATACCGAGAATCAAATTTGCCACAGAAGGATTAATGAAGCAGGATTTGAATTTCATTTAAAATATCGCACAAAGGGAACAGTTCCCTGAGCCACTCGGGGCTGCACAGCAGCTATTATCAATTTCACACGAGCCATTTGCGTGCGGGATGAAAAAAAAAATCCCGACTTTTTCAAGCGTCCGCGGTGGTGTCTCTTACAATGGCCGTAAAATGGGCGGAGCGAGAATTTAAAAGTATAATCCGGACAATTTTCCGCGTAACTTCACGCGAGAAACGCGTATCTCGAGGTTATATTTCATAGATTCGGTTAAATTAAGAATTAAGAATTTTATAAATATTTAAAAATTAAGAATTTTTCTCGGACCATTAGGGAACATTAATAATGCAGCCACGTGCGACAACGGGGATGACGAAGGGGCGATTGCAAAGACGTAACGGGCTTTCTTTATATTCGCGCGAATGAGACAAGCGCGCGACGCGAATCTGGTGCCTCGTCTCTCGAACATCCCGTCGAAGTAATATAAACGGA